TTGCTATAGGGCACGTGCGCTCGCCAGACAAAGAGAGACATAGAGACAGAAAGCGAGAAATCACCCCCCAGGGGGGATGGTCACGTTGCAATCCCTTCCCCTCCATTCTCCTCTCGGGATCTTGGGCATGCACACACACGCACCCGGCATGAGTTTTAAGCCGCCGGGTCCGGGACGCAAACCGCAGTCGACTACATGGGAGTCCAGCGACATAGCCATTACACTAACTGCTGGCGCCCAAGAAATAATAAATCTTTTAAATGCTCCTTGGAAATGTTAGAATTCATATATAGTTTTTAAACTGAAGTATCATTTAATTAAAATGAAATTCAAATGTATTAATTTAACACACAAATACAAACTTTGGAGAAATTCATCTAAACATTAATGTCATTAATCTTATTTTTCCAAAATTAAAGTATAGGTAACAACTAGGTTTGTGGAAGATACATATTTTTGAAAAGATATGCAAACTTAATCTATAAAGAAAACTTTCAAAATGGTGTTTCAACTAAAAAAAAATTAATGAAAGCAATTATTTAATAGAAAAACATTTGGCCAGTCAGTGGCATGGTGGTTAAGGCAGCTGGATCTCGTATGGCCAACTGCACAGTTCAAGCCCTGGACCCGGTGGCTTAAAAAACACGCGAGGCATGTTTGCACACATGTCTAAAATCCCAAAGGGGGTGGGGCATGGAAGAGAAGGGACTGTGGTGTGACCATTCCCTGTGGGGTTACTTTTTAACTTTTCCTCTCCCTCTCTTCCTCTCTCTCTGGCAAGCACATACACCTGCTAGCAAATTAAAAAGAAAACAAAAAAGAGAAACATATCTATAATAAAACATGAACAATATATACTCAAGTCTACTATATGAATAAAAATAAGACTTCATGGGGCCAGCAGATGGTGTAATGGTTATGTTGCTGGCCTGCCATGTAGTTGACAGTGGGATGAGTACCAGACCCAGTGGCTTAACCTCATGCTGGGCGCATGTGCGTGCGTGCCCAAGATCCTGAGAAGAAATGGAGGAGAAGGGATCGCTCCATGGCCATCCCTCCTGGGGGGTGACTTCTCGCTTTCTGTCTCTGTCTTGCTGGTGAGCGCACACACCCTATGGCAAAACCTCTTCAAAAAAAAGGGGAAAAAAAAAAAAAGACTTCATTATTAGGAACTGTGATGTCCAAAAGACACCGAAAGGGAAGAGCCTCACTTTCTTGATGCAAACTTGGGGAACTGTTTTGAAAATAATTTCCTCTGCACAAATCCTTCATTGCTATTCTCCTCCACTGCCTCAGACCTTTTCAGGGTGCAGGCGTCAGGCAGGAGTGAAAATGGAAGGCCGTGGCGATGAGCTTCTCACACAGATACCCTATAATCAATGAACTTACTTTGATTCCAAATTTTTTTCTAAATTAAGGCACTCTGTCTTATGTCCTCCCTTAACTGCCCAAGACAGACCTATTTGACTCCAGAAGATCTGTCACTGTGAAGGAATAAAGAAAGAAGAACCAGGCAAGATGAAAAAGCAAGATAAAGGAGAAACCAAAGAAATGTCAGAAGAACAGACTAGGGGGGAAAATCTTACTGAATCAAATTAATATATTAATAATAAAATTAATTATTGTGCTCTGGTAGGCTTGGAAGGAAACCAACAACTTCCTATAATTAAAAAGAAAACATCATTTGGAAAAACGTAAAACTTCATAATTTGGCAAAAAATGATTACGTGAAAAGCATCCCCATTTTCCGGCTACTCTGGGAAACACGGGGAGAAATCGTCTGTCTCCAGTCCAGCTGAATCAGCTGGTATCCTTGCTTCTCACAGGCTCACTGAAGAGCACACGGAGAGACACGCTTCCAGGTAGAATAGATGCATGGCTGTGTATCCAGTTTCCAAAGAGTAACCACTGCATTTAAGGATGCAGAAAACAGGAGTTTGTTTGTTTTTTTTGTTTGTTTTTTTTTTTGGAGAAGTTTTTGCTATAGGGCATGTGCGCTCACCAGACAGACAGAGAGAGACAGAGAGACAGAAAGCGAGAAATCACCCCCCGGGGGGATGGCCACGCTGCAATCCCTTCTCCTCCATTCTCCTCTCGGGATCTTGGGCATGCACACACACGCGCCCGGCGTGAGTTTTAAGCCACCGGGTCCGGGACGCAAACCGTGGTTGACTACGTGGGAGTCCAGCGACATAGCCATTACGCCAACTGCTGGTCCCCAGAAAACAGGAGTTTTGATCACAGATTTAAAAAAATAAAAAAGGTGTCGTGGTAGTTAATGCATTAGACTCCCACATGGCCAACTGGTTATAGTCCTGGACCTAGTGGCTTGCTTTCTCATTTTTCCTCACTCTTTCTGGTGAATTAAAATAATAATAAGAAAAATAAAGAAAATTAAATCAATAATCTTTAAAAAAACAACTAATACCAGTTGGGATCTTGACAAACATACTCTACTCTTTTTTTTTTCTTTTTATAATTGCCAGAGGAAGAGTGTACTGGTCAGAGAAAGAGAGATTCAAGAGGAGCAAGTAGCCCAGAGGGGTGTGGCCATGCTGCAATCCCTTCTCCACCATTTCTCCATCCTGCTGGGACTCCAGGCATGCACAAGTGTCCAGTGTATTTTCAAGCCACCAAGGCTGGGCTTTGAACTATGGTTGGTCATGTGGGATCCTAGGCTTCCTTAAACACTAGGTTACCAGTTCAGCCTGACAAACATACTCTATTAAGTAATCTTGGATTTTTTATTTTTATTTTCTTTAATCATTCTTGAACATAGTACAAAAAAGTTAAAATATTGCCATGATTTCAGAAGTCTGTTTTTAATGCAAGGTACATGTTACTTTAGGCCAAGCAGGTTTCCAACAGGAAATCAGCCCAAACCACGATGATCCCTGTACTGACAAACTTGACTCTTGAGAAAGCATTTGTAGTGGAAAAGAAAAGGAGTATTGTGCTAGGCATTCTATGATGTACACACATTTCAACATGTTGTACATGTTAAGTATATGCAATTTTAAAAATTTTATTTATTATTATTAATTTGACCAGAGAGAGAGAGAGAGAGAGAGAGAGAGAGAGAGTGAGAGAAGGAAGTATGAGAAAGCAAGCTGCCAGGTCTGCGACTCAAACCACGGTCAATCATGTGGGAGTCCAGCGCCTTCACCGCCACTCCACCTGCTGGCCCCAAGTATATGCAATCTTTATAAGAAAAATAAGTGTTAAGAAAGGGAAGTACACAAATAAAATACTAAGCCTAGAAAGTCATTGTTAAAATTATGCAAGTAATAACAAAGTATCAAATCATCAGCAATTTTGGTTAGGAAAATTAGCCACGCATTTGAGATATATTATGCTTTTCTTTGAGTTAAATTTGTCAGAGAAAATCAAAGAAGTATGCTATTACGGCTATAGCAGCGCTTGCAGGTATGGACGCGGGTATGGAGATAACCTGGGCATGCAGTTCGAAAGCATGCAGGGTTCGGACAGCCACAGACAGGCGGATGGCTCTCAGGGCTGCTCCCTGAGCTGCTCCCTGAGCTGCTCCCTGAGCTGCATGGCGGTTCTCAACCTGCTGGCCACCAGAATCACCTGGAGAGCTTGTGATAGCACAGGGGCTGGGCTCATCTCCAGAGTTCCAGGACCAGGTCTGAGAACTTCCATTCCCGAGAAGTTACCAGTGAGGCTGAGGCTGCAGGTCTGGGACCACACTCTGAAAACCAATGTGTTTAAGGGCTCTTTGCTATCTAAAGAAACCTATCTGAGTGTGATCTCATAATTAATTTAGGGCCTGTCCCGCACATAGTTTCCTAGCCACAAAGCACATGAGGGCCAATCCAAGGCATCTGGAGTGTCTGCTCTGTGGGAACTACAGGACTCAAGACCCGCAGTGCCAGAACTCTGGTAGTTCCAGGCATGATGTAATGGCTGGTCGAATCAAGAACACATTTTAGGAAGTAAATGTAGGGTGTGCTTGTACTTCGGAATTTCAGTTTACCCACCCTTCTACTTTTCTTGCCATAAAATATTTAAGAGTCATTTATTGATGAAACAAAGGAAATTAGACAATTATTCTGAAAACACCTTAACATATGCTTCAACCCCCTTGCTGAAAGACTTATCGTTAAGAAATATACACATGAGGCCCACAGATACTGCCACTACTTGGGAGGCTGAAAGCCACATGTGAGGTCTGGATTCAGTTCCTGGGCCAACCTGAACACACCAGGCTCACCTTATTCCTGGCTAACTGGGAGGCTGGGGCAGGAGGATCGTGATGCAATGAGACTGTCAAAAATGCCTTT